GTAAATACTTCCATTGTTAGTACTGTACAGCAGTGTTTGGAACTGTATTAAATGCAGTTTCATTGTACAGAGGATGAATGTATGGTTTCTATGATAATCAGGGTACTGTGACTGGTGTTTATTTAACCAGGTCTCCTATATAGGTGCATTTGTATATAGCATACGGTCTTTTTAAAAATAACGTTTTGACCTGCTAAGCCATCTATTTAACACAAACCAAGAGATTAGAAAGATAAATTATTTGCATAAACATATATGCTTTTCAAAACTGAAGTCTTGAAATATGCTAGTTCCCCTTTTATGCTCTTTAAGATGATGGATGTAATTTATTAACAATGGACTAGTTTCCCCAATTTGTCAGGATCATATACTCTCAGCTCAGTACAGAGAGCATAAAGCTCTGTGTGCACTTCCCCAGCATCTTCAGCTTCAACTACCTCATTTCTATTTCCTTCGCAGGACTGATACCAGGGAATATTTCTTTACGCAGAGGCTAATCAACAGCTAGGCAGGGCTACCAGGAAGCATGGTAGAGGCTAGGACTACTGAAGAAACAGCTCGATTCTGAAATGGGAAGACTGTAGCAGTAAAATAGGCATTCCCAAAGTACAAGACCAAATGGGCAGAGGGTATTTTTCATCTGTATCTCACTTATGATTTTATGGGACCAGTCATCATTGTGAGATTGCCAGGATGTAGACAGTTTGTGCTGTTGATGCATTTGAACTGTTTTGAGACTGCTCAAATTAATTTCACATAGGAAGCCAAAGGAGAGAGAGAGAGCACAAGGGAGAAAGAATACTTTTATTCCATTATTCCACTGTCACTATTTGAAAAGAGAAGGGAGCTTTTCCCAGTGTCCTGGCCAACAAATCACTCCAAACAAAATTGGTCACTCATTCCGTGTCTGTTTGTGGAACATTGTTCTGTGCAAAACTGGCTGCCATGTTTCACCCACAAAATACAGACAATCCACTTTACAGTAAATCCTGTGAAGGGATTGAGACGTCTCAATGATGTGATAAGGCGCTATATCAAATGCAAGGATTATTATTATTGTTATTTATTATTATTAATCTGGTTGTATTTGAACCCAGTGCTTAGAACTAATGGAGAGTGAACAACCCCTCCATAACCACCCCCTTCTGTGTTGGATACCTTGGATTTTCGTTTGGGTCAAATATCTACATAAAAGGGAGATTTGTAGCCTCTTTATTAGATTTTCTTTAGCAGTTGAGTAAGGGGAACTAGATGGAGATGTCTACTTTTAGTTAACTATAAATAAACTGTCAAGTACAAGAACAAAAAGATTATTGACATTGACCAGCATCTGAAAGTAGCTTTTGATGAATAAGCTGACAAAGTTCAGGATTGCTGTTAGACGCCAGGTGCCAGGAGCTTTCCTTGTCTCGGAGTCTGTGCTTCAGTTGCCAGGTTACTTTGAAGAGCCCGCTGAAATGAGATCTGTTCTGTCACTCCCACTGTTCTTGTTAATAACAAAGCGTTTTGGTGTGGAAGCATTTAGAAATCAAGTTTAGGAACCACTGTTTGAGTTTCTCTTATGTCTTCAATCTTAATCTTTTTACAAATGTGGTGGCATTCGGAATGTAGCTGTTGAACGCAAAAGTCCAGGATACCAGACGCTGTGAAATCTCCTTCATCTCAGAGTATCTCGTGTAGGTTTTAATTTAAACCTCCAGCTCTCTGCTAATTAAACGTGCTATGCAATTCATTTCACACAATGAATCTCTTTCCTAGATGATTTTGAGGGTATTGTTTTTCCTTTTTGGTTTATTGATGTGCACCAGAAATATTTTCATGCATTGGATGATTCGAATGCCTAGATTGTGCACTCAGCACACTTGCTTTTATTTAATTTGTTTAACTCGTGTGTGTGTGTGTGTGTGTGTATGTGTGTTGGAGGAAAGAATCCATAGAAATGAGGGGAAACGAGTTTGGCAGCCGCATAAAAGAGGTCAGGGAGATAGAATTTATTCTCACATAAAAGAATCGCCCATGTGTTACTATGTAGATACAGTAGTTGATTACTCACAAGTATAATTGTTTTCAATATTCTGAGCCAACTGTACCACCAGGGAAAGATTTGTGTAGCATGCGAGGGGTTAGTATTAGCTACATTGCTTGAGGGTCTACTGAGTGGATAGCAGTCCTTTTTTTCCTCTGAGTGAAGGTATGCCACATTTTCTCTCTCTCATTGTGAGGATGCTAGTTGTGGAGCTCTCTAACCCACTAGTTCTCTATGATACATAGGCACATACGTGCACCCACATATGCTGTGAGGCACAGTGCTGGTTGTGCACTATTTTGTGTGTGTCTTTTTTTCTCTCACACACACATGCACAAACAGTGTTTGCTTGCTTGAGATTGTACTCATGGTGCAATCTCATCTGTGTGTTGTTTGTAGACAGCATGCGTTGTTGCATTTTAGTTTTGTTTGATATGATTTTTTGTGTTCGGTCTGAATTAAAAAGAAAAATTGCAAGCGTTTAGTTAGATTTATTTTCATACAATAGTAGTTTTTGATTAAAACTGGAGATATACATGGTTTGCAATCTTTGTTTAGAAAGTCAATACTCTCAAGGACATGCTTACTGCAAGTACATAAGTACTTTAATACTGTTAACACCTGGAAAGCAGGGATCCTGTTAACTGTTGGTATTTAGTTGGCATTACAGGTACTTTGCATTATGTTTCCCTCTGAATACCACAGTGATCCAAGATTCTCTGAGATTTCAACGGAAATGTATCATTCATTTAAGCTTTGAACTGTTAAGCATTAAAGCTGCTTCTGTGAAGTTAATCCATCTCAGGCACTGGTAGGAAATCAGAATTTCATTGAGCATGCCTCCGCAACTAGTTTGTCACCTCTTTTTAAGTTCCCGTCTAACTGTGGAAAACCATGCAAATGCATGTGCTGGTACCATTACTGACTTTCTAGCACTCTGTCACTACTGCATCTAATCGCTGGCTGTGTGCGGCTTGCCTTCATTGCACTTAGCAAAGGGGGGCGCAATCTTGTATATATCACAAACCCGTCCTTAATGCCCATCTCACTTACAGATTAGCACTGACGAGAGGCAGACTGCTCCCAAAGCCCTCAAAGGGCTCTGTCTGTGGTGAATTATCTGCACCTATAATTGTGGAAACATTCCATTCACAGAGTCTATTGCATTTGCAGACTATGCAGAATCGGTTTCATATAATGCAAGTGGGTGAGTCACTCACTTCAAAACTGTGAAAATGTTACCGGGAAGTTTCTGCCGAGAGTCCTTGGTGAGATGAAATTCTCTGCTCTGTATGTGCCTCACTTCCCTTTGGAAATCCTGACATTTTGATTTATTTTGGCCCCAATTTTATTGTTCTGTGACAGTCAGTGCAGTTGACAGCATTGTAATTTGCAGCTACTGTTGCACTTAATGGAGAAGAGGGAGAGAGTTTGATCCAAGTGACCTAACCATTTTGTTGTCAGATTTGCAAGTGAGTTCAGGCAGAACTTTACAATGAAGTCACATACCTTAATCCAACATAAAGCATTGAACTCAGTTACACAGTAAGTGGAACTAATGGTTTGGAACAGTCGTCACAGAACATCAGAGTTGCCAATAATGATAAGAAGCCATACACTCAATCTGAATTTGTCAATGAGTTTGGTCAAAAGAGAAAATATAATTATAGAAACAATAGCATTAAAAAAAATCTCTAGATCTAAATCTGCTCTTGCCTCGACATGCATGCTCTATACCCTATTTATATTTATTTGTTTATTAAGCGTGGATTAGGAATCATACTCCGCCTTGTTCCACAGCTGTAAATGACATTGCTTTGCTGTAAACACACCAAATCGGTATAAGTGATGGGTTGCTTTCCGGGACTCCCTCCCTCGCCAAGCACAGGAGTATATTTGGTAAATGCCACTCCTTGAAGACCGTGCTGAAGGCAGGCACTCCAGGATGCTACCCCTCGTGAAAGGAGCTGTATAAATGCAAGTTATTGTTGTTTTAACCAATATAGGATGATTTTATTGAAAGCGAACATTTGCGCAGTTACCTGCGTCTTCCCCACAGGGTTTTGTTAAGCAAAAGAATATGAAATGTTCCCGCTGAAAGGTTTCGGTGTAATAGGTTTGTTAAGATTGTATTCCTTTTGATTCTCACAATATGGAAATAAGGAAATGAATGTTCTGAAATAGTAATTGATTACTGATGGTCTTTCAGGTATTCAGAGATTATAGCGAATTTATCCAGACGCCTGTATTTTGGTATTGGTTATTGCATTATCAACAAACAAAAGCAAAGTCTTTTTGCTCCTCTTTTTTTCTTTCTTCTTAACCAGATTTCTCCCTTTTTAAATCACTGCTGCATGTTGGGGTACAGTTTCAAAGGCAGTGTCTCAGGTAACTAACTCACCCCTACACACACTCAGACAGCCATTGTGAGTGTGGGAGCCTTGAACATGTGTCAAATGTCATCTTGAGCCTGTCCTTTACTGAATGAAGGCTTCGATAGTGTTTTGTTTGTTGGGGTTTGCTTTGTTCCACACATGCATGTGCCCTAGTGTTAATGTCCTAAATCCAATCTTGGCCAGATGTGAGGTTCATGTTTACTTTGAGTAGGAGCTAGAACTATCTATTTTTTAAAATGCCTTTGCCCCTAAAAAATTAAAAATGATGGCTGACACGGTCTTAGAAATCAGTCATTCTGCAGTCATTATTTGACAGCAGCATCTCATTCGTCCATTTCCCCCCCACAAGATCATGTGCCCATCCAGCTTTGTTAAATGTTTTGAGATGTCCTCCCGACATGAAAGACACTATATCAATGTAAATTGCATTGTATCTTGTTATAAGCGCTCCTGTGTGTGATTCATTCAGAATTGAATTGTTAGGAGTCCTGGTTTTAGATTGCAGATGATGAGTTCTTCTTACCTGTGTAGATGTACTGTCACTCAGAGTGTGATTGCTCCTCTTTATCGTCTTTCAGATGGTCTTCACACCGTCACTGCACTATGTAACCTGAGAGTGACCATCATCACTGAGGACATGCTGACAAACAGCATCACTGTGAGACTGGAGAACATGTCCCAGGAGAAGTTCCTTTCTCCACTTCTCTCCCTTTTTGTGGAAGGAGTTGCCGCTGTGCTCTCTACGACCAAAGATGACATCTTCATTTTTAATATTCAGAATGATACGGACGTGAAAGCCAACATCCTGAATGTCAGCTTCTCTGCCTTGTTGCCAGGTGGTGTTCGGAACCAATTCTTCCTCTCAGAGGATCTGCAGGAGCAGATTTACCTGAACCGTACACTGCTCACCACCATCTCCTCCCAGAGGGTCCTGCCCTTCGACGACAACATTTGCCTGAGAGAGCCTTGCGAAAACTACATGAAGTGTGTCTCTGTGCTGAAGTTTGACAGCTCAGCACCTTTCATTTCGTCCGAAACGGTCTTGTTCCGGCCTATCCATCCCATCAATGGGTTGCGATGCAGGTGTCCGACTGGATTTACTGGGGATTATTGTGAGACCGAAATTGACTTGTGCTATTCCGATCCCTGTGGTAATCATGGCCTCTGCAGAAGCAGAGAAGGAGGCTATACTTGTGAATGCTATGAAGATTATACAGGTAAGTGTCTCAAGTGCCATTCTTTTCAATCTATGTTTATTTAAGATTAGAGCCTCGCCTCGCTTTCAGTGTTTCCCACCACATGACAGCTTGCTTCTTCAAATATGTTTTGATAAATAGAAACCTTACTCGGTGCCCTGGGGTTCCTTTTAAATAATATAGAGCGTATTAGCTTTTTTAGTTATGAATGTGCCTTGTCACTGTGTTTGTGCAATTCCGTTACAAACGTTTACTCGAGCTGCTCCTACACAGTTATTGAGGTGTCTTGTTGGATTGAGATACAGATCAAAGCATCTCTGAGTAAAGTGACAATCAGCACAATGAGATGTAACAAAACAACATGTAATGAACTTGAATTTAGTTTCAATGTAAATAAAGAATCTTTGCAATTGATATGTCGCCTTTCACATTGGGGTATGTCTTAAAACATTTCACAGTATATATTGCAAAAGTGTAGTGACTAATTTGTAGGCAAAAACAGCAGCAAATTGGCTGCTACAAATTACAGTTGCTGCTGTTTTATTTGGGGGAAATTATAGATATCATTCAACATTTTTTAAATTTAGTCTTGATTTAGAAGCCATGTATTTGGAGTTCTTTTCTGCCTTCCAAGACACAATTTAAAAATTCTGCATCGTCTTAAATTTTAAGACAAAGTGGTCTTCCAGGCTAAACTTAAATGGAATTTCAGGCTCAGGTTCCTTCATAAGTGAAAACAGTTCTTAGCGGGCCATAGATTGCATTTACATCCTTACATATGGCTCCCAACATTGTAATTAGGTTGTGGACTCGGAGTCGTTGGCATGTAATCAGGAGTGGGAACAAACCCATGGCTGGTTTTCGTTTCCTAACCGCACACCAAATCTAAAAACTACCAGCTACAGATGGAAGAGGCTGTCAGGGGGATGGCATAGATTCAGGACGAAGCAGATCCACAACAATAAATTGCATTTATATATATATTTATTTATATAAATATATATATATATTTATATATATATATTTATATATATATATATTTATATCACAAAGGGTAGCGACCCAGAGCACTTGGCAGTGGCAGAGCACCACGTCAAGATCAAGGCATAATTTACAGTCATTGAATAAAACCTAAATCATTTATTTTAAAAAGAGATTTCCCCGAGGACTCTGCAGTTTTTGTTTCGGTCAGACTGGTCGGTCGATGTCTCACATGTGGAAAACATCACAACACTTAAGAATTCAGCAACAACAGCTTGCATTTATATAATGGCCTTCATGTGGGGTAACATCTCATAGCACTGATACCCAATTATCCAAACGATTGAGAGTTCTACCCATTTGTCTGTTATAGAGTGTGCACTCTCTCCCTGGAGGAATGTATCCTGATTGCCTATTGCTAGATAGTTCAGACACAGATTGGCACAGCCAAGACTTGCAGAAGCCACGGCATGTGTTGAGGTGCTACTGGAGTTTTAATTGGCTAAAAAGGCATAACTTGGCATGACAAACACCGGCACGCTTCTTGCTGTTTTGTCCCGTTAGGAATACCTTACCTGCTAGAGTTGTAACTTACAGGGATAACAGGAGACAAGTAGAAAAAACTCAGTGACTGATCTGCTCCTCCAAATTCTGCTGATAAACCAGGTTGGCTGGTGAGTCGTTATCTATGGACCACTTGGTTCAAGAACTGGACTACCAAGAGGAGTCTAAAATTCCATTGGAAGGCGTGTTACCATGGAGCCAACACAGCCCCAAAGGGACTTACCTTCCCTATCCCTCACATGCTTCTCCCCAACCCCCAAGGGTAGTAACTGGTTAGCTAATAGACATATGACAAACACAGGTTTGAGTCCTCAGGAGGTGGACAGCATTTTAGGAACTGCTTGCAAGCTGCTTGATGAGCAGCACAACTCAGCATAAAATGAATGAACACATGGCTGCCATTCTCCTGCCCACAGCTCAGAAACACACCCCTCCCACTGAGCAATACCCTCCCACTGAGCAATGGTACAATCAGTTTGAGGTGTGGAGAGTCAGCAGCAGCTGCTTACCTCCCTGCATTACCAATCAAGGCAATTCCTGCAGAGATGATCAAACATGTGACATAAAAATTGGTGTGATGCATTTTGCTTCCAGTTAGAATTAGGCTATTGAAACCACCCAAGGAAAGGAGAGCCAGAAGCCTCCATCTTCTTAGGTTATGGCTGCAGTCTACTTCAGACTTCCTCTCTTTTCTCACGCCTTCAATAGACAGGCACTAAAAAGAAGCTTTTCCAGTTTTCTGCTTGAACAATGAGTCCCATGATCATTAAAGAACCAGCATGAGGGCATTGCATGTTTAAACAAAAATTCAACTGAAAACTGTGCAGTTGGATCTTTTCACTCCCAACTCCAGCCACCTGACCTTCAAACTCGCTGCCTACTGACAGTGAGCATGCATGACTTCCAAAACTAGGGCAGGAAGTGGCAAGCTGAGAGATCAGGGAGTTCAGCATAGAGTTGGAACTAATTTTGGATTTCCCAGCCTGAAACGCTCAAATACTCATTGAATACACTCGCTGAGCTACAGAAGAGCTGTAATAGGAATTAAATTGTGATCCATTGAGGTTCAGTAGCAGGTATCATTGTAGTTGGCTTTATCCTTCCTACCTTCCTTCCTTCCTGGTGACAAATTGTTAGCGTGTTAATCGTGTTTCGACTTCCCTCACCTTTAAACTGCAGTTTATACATTAAAATCATACACTTCTGACTCATCACCTGTCCTGTTATTCTCATAAAAGATCATTGAGGTGGAATTCAGTAACAAACTTCTAGATGGTCGGATTAAATTATGTGGTGCCCGAGTCAAAGGTCTGTCCTAAAAGCATTTGATTGGATATTTTATTCAATTGAGGTTACAAACTGATCATTTTGGACCATGTCAGCAACATCCAGATTTTTTCCTACAAAATATACAGTTAATTCACTCTACATTATATCCTCTGAAGCTTTTGAGTCGTCTCGACGACTTGATAAGGTGCTATATCAAATACAAGGATTATTATTATTATATATTGGAACACTAATTGGAAAAATTTTCAGCACAGACCGAATAAAGTGGACCTGGGTTCTCTTACTTCACAAATAACTTGTATGTAGTTTCAAATGAACTTGTCTACAATTTCAACTGTAGGCAATTGACCAACACAGAATTTTGAGCTCAAACACGTACTAATGTCAGATTCTCTAATCTACGCTGTATTTCCAAAGTTCTGACTCAAGCCCGTTAGTATATGTAAAAGCTATCTTGAACATCCTGCTGGATGTAACTAATATTTCAACTAGTGTGGTTTCAAAAGTTCATGGTTGCCGGCAAATAGTTGCTAAAATAAGGCATTCTATGTCTGGTATAATGGGATTGTTTGCTTGAACAGCCAGTGTTGTGTTTTCTATTGTCAGATCAATGTTAAGTTTAAGACAAACTACATAATCATTCCTGGTAATGTTGATTTCCCAGCGGCATTTAAAAATAATTGTTTAAGGACCTGAGAAACAATATTAAAAGATATAATGAAAGAGTAGACGAATGGGATAAGAATAGATAGTTCTACCAGAGGAGCTAACACCACTGCAGATATGATGGGTCTCCTACGCTGTAAATTTAGGAGCTCCATCACGGGTCTGATTCTAAGTGTTCTGGTTCAGGCCCCAGTCTATACTGCAATAGCTCTTTTGAGCCTGTTGTAGGAAATTCAGCAACAATAGGATCACTGCAATTGGTTTCAATGAAAGATAACAGTCAGCCAGTGTATCCTACTGGTTTCAGGAAAGAAGGGGAGAACAGACAGTGGGAAAATGCCTACAGGTAGTTGCAGCCTGATCTTGCCTTCACATGAGGGAAGGAGAATAGAAGGGTGTGGGGGGGAGTAAGGAATGGGTGAACATGCATATGGAGTATAAGCACCAGCACGGATTGGTTAGTCTGAGTGGCCTGTTTCCATGTTCAGTCTTTCTAAATCTTTGCCTCTTAAGTGATCTCATATCCTGTTGTGTTGGTTCTTCAACTATGTTCTTAGTAAGATTGGGGCTACCCATGTTTTATACTGATGGCAATATGGCCATATATTGTGTTACTCATGTTTACAGGAGTAATCCATACGTGGGCATATGTGCCCACATAAGCGTGTCAGCCTGACTCAGTTGGTAGCACTCTTATCTCTGAATCAGAAGATTGTTAGTTTTAGCTCCATTTGGGGAATTTGAATTTACAGTCTAGGCTGAAGTTCCAGTACTGCATTGTTTAAGGTTCTGTCCTTTGGATGAGTCACCAAACCAAGGTCCCATCTGCCTGTTTAGGTGAACATCAAGGATTGCATGGCTGTATTGAAAAGAAAAGGAAGTTTAGGAGACCCATCATGATAATTTCTCCCAGAAACACAGCCAACAATTCCCCAGATAAAATTGATCATTCACCTAATTTTTATTTGTGGGATATTGTTGTGTGCAAATTAGCTTCCATGCTACGAAATAAACAATGATGAGGTGACACTTACAGTAAAGTCCTGTGCTTTGAGTCATCCTCCTGATGTCAAAGATGCTGTATGAAATGCAATTATTATTATTATAAAGAGAAAACAAAAGACTGAGAAAACAACAACAAAATTACATTCGTATGGCGCCTTTCACGTCGGGAGGACATCCCAAGGCACTGGACAATCAGTGTTTTGGACCTGAGCTGTGGATCGGGATCGGGGAGGGTGGAGGGCAGGAGGGTGATCGAAGGCTTGGTCGAAGAGGAGGTTCTTGAGACGGATGTTGAAGGAGGCAAGGGAGTAGACGAGGCGGATGGACTGTGGGATGGAGTTCCAGGGGGTGGGCGCAGAGTGGTAGAAGACCCAAGCGCCATTGGTGGGGTGGGCAAGGTGGGGGACATGAAACAGGCTGGAGCCTGCTGTGGGGAGGCATCGGGCAGGCTGGTAGGGGGTTAGGAGGTCGCAGAGGTAGGGGGGGAGCAAGGCCATGGAGGGTTTTGAAGGTGA